CTGCAGCCCCAGCATGGCGCAGAAGGCGTTGCACTTGTGGGAGGAGACAAACTGGTCCAGCAGGGCGGGCGAGCAGCTCTCCTCCAGGCCGGGGCTGGCGGCCGAGCCGAGCCGAGCGAATCCGAGCCGGGCCGAGCCGGGCCGAGCCGGGCCAGGCCGGGCCCTGGAGCGGGTGGACTATGCGGGCTGCGAAGCTTGGGTGCACGGGCCTCTGAACCCCGCGCCCCCGGGCTAGCCAGGAAGCCGTGCTGCGGCCGTGCGACCGAGGCTGCCGGCCCGCCATGGCTGGGGTCAGCTACGCGGCGCCCTGGTGGGTGAACCTGCTGCACCGGCTGCCCCACTTCGACCTGCACTGGGAGACCACCAGCAGCCAGTTCCGACCCGAGGACACCGACTACCAGCAGGTGACATGAACTACCTGAATGCGCGGGGTCAGGTTTGGGGTCAGGGCCTCCCCTCCAGCCTGAAGGTGTCGGACCCCCTCCATTCTGAGATCTCGTCCCCTCCACGATGGTCAGGGCTTCCTTTATCCTTTCCAAGCTCTGAAGACTCCCCATCCCCCATCGAGGGTCACAGCCCCCTCCTTTTCCATGCGTCAGTGAACCCTCATCCTCGAGGGTCGCTCCCCTCCTCTGTTCCTGAGGGTCTAAAGTCTCCCCAACGCCCATCGAGGGTCATTGTTTGACTTCTCATGGGTCACAGCCCCCCCCCCCTTTTTTTTAGTGAGGGTCTTTTCCCAAGATCTAAGACCACCACCGCCATCATCCCCCATCCACCACCCACCACCCACCATTGGAGATCCACAGCTTTTTTTGGTGTGCTGTCACTGAAGCCCTCTTTTCTGGGTTTATGTGAAGCTACCTCCCTCCCCTCCGTGAAGCCCACTTTGCTTGCTGTCATCTCCTGCCCAGGCCCTGCCTATCACAGGTCTGTGGTGGGACAGAGTCCCCTATCAGGACGACCCTGGGGCTCTGAAAGCTTTGGTTACAGTCAGGAGGAGATTCCTCTCCTTTCACCACCAACTGGAGAATCCCACTCACTGCCAAGCTTTTGGTGGCTGAGAGGCCTGAGCAGATGCCAGCCCTTCCTGACCAATAATGACCCCCCGCTGGATGACCAGGCTGTGGGATGTACCTATAGGGCTGTATTCACTGTGATGACACCAGCCTGCCCAGAGACCCTCTTCCAATAGCCCCTGTGGGTAGAAGGTCTGGCCATGGGGACAAAGATTGGTTTCAGTTTGGCAGTCTGGCAAGGGGCCTCATGAGCCTGGGCAGAGTTGGGGCCCTTTTCAGCCCTTTTCCCGGGTGACCAGGCTCTCCCATTGGAGCCTTGGTTCTGTCATGTCAAGCCTCACTGCCATCCTCGTGTCTCAGCCACTGCCATTTGAAGATAGGGCAGGCGACTGGCTGTAGACATTTCCTTCCTGCCTGGGGATCTGGATTCCAGGAACTGCACTCTGGGTTTCTCTTTGTCAATCGTTGCAGGGTCCCAGCTGGGGTGAGAACAGCTTTGCTTTTCAAGATGGCTTGGAAATCCAGTTTTCCTCAGACTGTTTCTCACCACACCTATTCAGAACTCAGTCCCCTGTGGAAAAAAACTGAGCAGGGGGTCAGGATACCCCGATCACCTCAGCTCTGTAGGGGAGACTGTTATTTCCAGCCTCAGAGCTTACCTGGCACCTGGTCCCCCTGCCCTGCTGATCTCTCTTTAAGCAGAATAGAAAGGAGCTGAAGGGTTGGTCGGGGCATACCCCGAGACAGCAGGATTTTCATAAAACCTGACACCCACATTTTAGAAGCCTGGCCATGGGTGCTGACTAGTGTGGAGGCAATATCATTCCTTTGGGCTCCCCACAGAGGAACTTTGTGTGATGGGTATCTCACATCTGTCCTGGGGGCTCTGCTTTACTTTAAGAAGTTCTTTGCCACTCATCAGTTCTGAAGCTCCAGGGAAGCCGATGGGCCACCTGGGTGTCTGTGACCAGCTCGGAGCTTTCCTGCTGGCCTGTGGGCTGCTACCTGCCCATACTGCCAACTGTGGTCGGCACCCCTCCTGCCCTCCAGGTGCCTGTCTTCCCATGGGCCTTGCAGCTGGAGCTGGGATTTGGGCTGGGATTCAGAGACTCACAGTGAGGCCTGAGCAGGGGCTGATGCCTACAGCCTTACAGACCTCAGTGGGGGTGGCCAGGCCTCCCACAGGCTCTTTGCCCCTTATTTCGGCCCCGGTCTCCTATGAGCACTGTTCCTCTTGTGCTGTAGGAGGGCTCTGACTCACTCTCGCTCCTGCCTCCTCTCTGTGGAGCAGAATTAGCCACTGAATAATTCACGGTGTGGAACCTTGCCTGTCTCCATCCCCCGCCGCCTCCTCTTCTGGCTCAGGACTGTGGAGAGAGCAAGACCTAGGCCTGCATCCTGCCTCTGCCTTCCTATACTGTGTTTTTGTGCTAGTGCTTGACCTCCCTAAGCCTTCACTACCTTGCACTGAAATCTGGGCTGGTGTGCCTTCTCTGCAGGGTTGCAATAGGGAAGCCAGGGCCCCATTTCCTGCTCTGTGTTGGGTGTGGGGCAGACTGGAGCACCCTTCCTGGGTGGCTGGGTAATGGGTTGGCATGACCTCAGCTGGTGAAGTGCTCCTACCTGTGGGAGAGTCTGAACCTGACCCACTGGTGGATGAGGGACCCACTCATCCTCCTAAAGCACCCCTCTTGGCCCGGGAGCCTGTGTCCAGCCTGAGCTGCAGCAGTTTGGCAGTTCCCCCCATCCAAAGTAAAGGTGGGATCTGGTATAGGGGTATGTGTGGCATGGGGAGGTCAGCCTTTGTTTTTGATATTTCCTTCCCCCCTCTCTCATCCACTGTTGGGAGCCCTGGTGAAACCCACTGGGAAACCCCAGGGCCAGGCCCTGCTGCAAAGTACTGTGTCACTAACCCGTGCCACTCAAGCCTGAGACATGAGTTACCGCCATCATACAGATGGGCAGACTGAGGCTCACAGTCACACAGTGAGAAGGTGATAGGGCCAGAGTTCTGTTTCAGGCCTCTTGTGTCTGCCCTACTAGGACCCTAGGTCGCCCATGGCTGAACCCTTGCAAAGGATGAGACTATAGGAGTTTGAAGTTGGTATTTGTGGCTGGTGCCACTGCATGAGGGATTCAGAGCTCTGCTCTGAGAATGGGGTTTTTGTCTCCTAATGGTTTGTGATTTCTCTTGGGACTGAGAGTGTCAGACTCCCATATTCCTAGGCCTCATGCTGGAGAGAAGGGCTCCCTAACCATTGTATCTGTCTTCTGAGGGCCATGATATCTGCTGAGTAGTAGGCTCCCATGGTGGGTTCTATGGGGGCTGATTGGGTCTGTGGTGGTGAGTGTTGGAAGGAGCAGAGGGCCTTCTGGGGTTGGGTCACTGCCAGCATGCCTCCGCACCCCACCTAGGGGCAGCTGAGTGACTGAGGGTCTTGATTTACAAGAAGTGCAGATCCAGAGCAGGGAGGATATGCCCAGGTGGTCACACAGCCAAGCTGGGCCCAGTGTCATGTTTGGCCTGAGGTCCCATGTGGCTGAGGACAATCTGTGCCCCAAGGTGGTGGTTGGGTCTATCCTGGCTGTGGGCAAGGGTTGCTGAGGGTTGAGCAGAGCCTTCTCTTTAGGCTGGAGCATGGGTGCCGGAGGTCATAGGCCTGGGCCATAGTTCTTGCTTCCTGTGTGACCTGGGCTTAGTCCATTCACCTTCCTGAATTTCACTTGAGGAGTCTTTCCCCCTCAACCTCCATCTACCCTCATGATGTCCCCTCCCTAGCCTCCCCACACCTGTCAAACTCTTGTCCCTACCCTTGGCTTCTTAATCTGGCTTGCTCACTTTCTGCTGGTACAAGGGGCAGAAGTGCAAGTGGCAGAACATGTAGGGCCTGGTGAGGTCCTTGCTGTGTGAGGTCAGGGCAGGACCTATGGGAGCCCAGCAGTCAGGAGAGGCTTCTGTAGGAAGTATGACCTGAATTGTTAGGGAGCTGAGAGCCAGACTGAACAGCAGGAAGGGTGGGACTTGCCTGGAGCCTGGCATGTGGTGGGTGCACTTACCTCAGGTTGCCGGGTGTGTAGAGCCCTCGTACTTGGGTGTTTCTATGGAGCTCCTAATGATAAAATGAAGTAGCCGCGTAGAGACCTTAGGGATACAGGCAGTGGAAAGGCAGAGTGAAATCTCAGCGGTGGAGAGCAGACTGAGCTCCTCCCAAAATAAGGGTGTCCCTACAGTCTGAACATGCAGGAGGTGGTGAGCTCTCATCCTGAGCTCAGGCCACGTGGAAAGACTTAAACCCTGGTCGTCGCACCCTCAGGGGCTGCTGGCCTCCTAGTAGGAGACCACAATGCCTTGGCCTGAAGCTGTGCGTCCAGCAGCGTCACCGTGGGCCTGGCCCTAGACGAGTAGAGAGCCAAACACATCAGTGGGCCGGGCCCGTCCTCTTGTCACTGGCCCCACATATCCGGAGGAAATTGCTCTGGCGAAAACAGCCTTTATCACACATCTTCTAGTTTACAAAAGTAATCACTTGCATGGAAAACCAGAAAGAGCATGAAGACCAAAATAGTCTCCCAGCTGGGTTTCCACCCATGTTCTTATATTGTGGGGTAGGTGCCTCTCGGGAGTAGAATAACCCCATGTACTGTCACTTTGGTTCTTGGACCTTGGTTCTTGATGCCTACCTGGTAGCCTGTGGTACTAGTCAGGATTGAGGTGGCAAGTGAGAAACATGGCAAATATAACAGGGCACTGGCCAGCTGGTGGGAGCTTCTAGAGCATTCCTGGTGTGGGCGGCAACCAGAGAGCTGGATTCTAAGGGTGCAGGACCTGTGAGTGAGCTGGGAAGCCCTGTGGGCCAAACTGGCATTGGCTGCCCAAGTCCCAGGAGAATGCAGGTGGCCCCTAGCCTGGGTCATGCTCCTGTATTTGGCCAGGGGAGGGCGAGGCAGCGGGTTGATGTAGGTGTTGAGACCAAACTTGGCACATCATCCACCTGGCCTGAGCCTGGGTCCGTGTCCCTTGGCTCAGTTTGGGGTCGCCTGTTCTTTGAGGTTTAAGGATGCAGTGGCAGGCTCTGTCCCCTGATTTGGTGGGGCCCAGCCCAACCCAACACTGTTCTTCTCTGGCTAGGGGACATGCAAAGGAGGACAGAAGCTGTCTGGGCCCCAGCCAAGGATTCCTGGTCAGGTCCTGGGTGGGGGTGCTCTGTGACTCGGACCCCAGCTACAGCCTCTCTGCCAAAGAGGCTTATGTTGTTTGTTTCTTATTTTTCTGGAAGGCCGCCACACAGTGACCCTGGGGGCTGAGCTCAGTTGTCCTCAGAGCAGAGGAACTGAGGCCAGGGGCCTACAGCATGGTGGTCTGGGAGGCACCCTGCTCTGGCCAGGTG